ACATCTTGAAACACCTACGTGACTGATATAGTCAGGATCTTATATTTTTTGGTGGTCTACTTTATCATGAATTTAAAAATAATATTTCCTTTCCTTTTGCGGTTGTCGCTTTTTTGCTCTCAAAAATAGGCTTTTAATCAGTTATTATTAATAGTGGCCATCGCTACGAGAACCTGGAAATGGAAAATTTTGTTGGTTTAAAGATTAACTTTATCGCATATCATATTTCATGCACGCACGCAAAATAAACTAGATTTGAAAACCAGCGAGTCTTGTGTATGCACACGCACCATCGATTGTTTATATGAATTAGGCATTCAATTCAATTTGCGGATGGGGTTTTTTTCTTACCTTTTTACTTGAAGCCTTTGTCTAAATGGTCTCATAATTAAAGGCACTGCCCGAGGCGACTTTGGCAGTTAGTAAATGCATAGTTGGGGGTGGGGGGTGGAGGGAGGGGGCAGGGTGTCTGTTCTTATTTACACTTTAAACTTTTTTTAAATTCGTCATTTACCTTAGTAGGATTGAATGAATTTCCTTTAGCTATTAGCTTAACTTGGCTTTTGGTTTCATCAAATTAGCTTGCATCTAACATTTTTGAACTACTCAGTGTTAGAACTTTTTTGACCTATGTTATCCCTATCAGCCTAAACTAACATTGAAAATCGCTTCATTAATTAATTGCATGGGCGAATAATTGCCTATTTTATTACTTATCGGTATCTCATTTGTTTTTCCTTTCTGTCATTATTCGTCCGGAAATGTGCTAATTTAACATGCCAAAACATGCATTCAATTATTGTATTTTTTCGTGAATTTAATTTACGCGAGGCTGTGAAGAAATGTTCAGCTGTCACCACCACTTGATCACGAGTCCAATGTATAGTTACAACTCCACCCTAACACACACCAAGAATTGACACACCAATAACATCGAACTGAATCAATAGCTATTCTAGTTTACACCACAAGGGCATCTTAGGTTGCTATCGGAATACTTTGAATGCTACCTTTATGAATGAAAATATTGTCTACTTTTTGAGAGAGTGAGAATAACTTTAATATTGATTGGATTGCCTTTAAGTGCGTCAAATCAACCCTGCTTAGCGTTTGGAGTATGTCTTGTTTGCGCTCAAATTGGCAGACAAATGGCAAAATATTTAGTAGTTCTCTTATTCGCCATCAGTTTAAATATAGTGCTGATGAAAGAGGTGAGAAAGTAATGAAAATGATAACAATAAGTAATGGCTATAATTATTACAGCTATAATTATTCTTTTCTCTCAACCCTAAGCTTTAACATGTTCTCTTTTTTCTCTTATTGACACGATGATTATTTAGCTACTATTCATTTTTGAATCGTCTAAATACACTGACATGCCCCCTGTTTAAAGAGCGCATGAATTATGCAATGTTGACGTCTGACATAACCGACATTTGGATGAACCACTAAGCTACAAGTTATTTTAAATTAATGAGTAAAGTTTCCTAACCTCAAATAGTAGTGAAACATTCGGTTAGTAAATCTAAGGTGTCCACTCTATGAACACTTACGATTTCTATTAAGTTAGAATTCTTCGAATCTGACGCAACAAGAACATAAAGGAGGCATTGGTCATGCTTCCACACTTCCAGTATTTTTTGCACTGTCGAATATACACTTCCATATAAATGTTCCAGATTCAAGACTGCTGGACGAAATAAGGAGAAAATGTTTCCATTAAAAGTGTCAAAGTGCAGAAAAGGTAGCTAAAGTCTCTCAGATCACTCTATTCGCTATACTTGAACTTGAACAGTACCAGAGCATCCGATTGTCCTGTTCATATGTCATATAAAGTCTTTAAATAACTGAATGATTTTATAAATGAGAATTAGGTGGGTATTGATATTAGAATTACTAAGAGATCACATAAAGTTTCGAGAAAATAAAAGGGCAATTTTAAAGTGTCAATCATCTGTCATTTGATTCTCTCTGCAGGTGGATAAAGCTAGAGCATTTAATTTTATGATAAAATACAAACTGGAAGCAGTCAATTATGTACACCTACGCCATGGCTTTCCGATCTTGATGAACAGGTTGAAATGTGGCCTCACGACAATAAGAGTGTTTTGTGTTTTTCCGCTCTCTTGTGCTCCCACTACGTATCTCATTTAAATTTAACCCGATGACCTAGTTTTCTTACCTATAATATCTGAGTATAAATTTGCGGAACTTTATAATCCGTATTTCTCCTCTTTAGCAGTCAGAAGGTTCCGTCCCTGATTCTCTTCAAAAAAATCGTCTATCTGGATCATCACTGTACAACTACCGATCTTCTGGTATAAGTAAGTACACCTTTTTGAGTTTTCTTATCGCATGCAAAGTCGAACGAAGGTGGACTTATTAATCCTCGTCCATTAATTTTACTGCATTTATTACTTTCTCAGGGCATATTTGCTCTTTTAATGTATCGCAATTGCATTGTGCTTTTTGCTCTTACCGTGAAACTAATCAAACTTTAGTAGAACTTTATCCGGGCAATTAGAATGTGTCTTAGGATTGGTTTCATGGAGAACGCGCTTTTTACTAGTCCTTTTGTTAGTTAGAATTGACCGACAGAGTTGACTATTCATGTCACTGGATGTGATGGACTACGGACAGTCGAAATTTGGCTCTAATTGATTTTATCTTTTGATAAGCCAAAGTACCTCTTTTAGTAGAGTGTAATTTTCCGGAAAAGAATAAACCAGCGCATAAATTTAGTCGGTTTTAAACGCATTCTTTTGAGTTTTAATGTTTCTATCACTCGACTAATGATTTTGCTATTTTAAGAGCAATCCCAAAGCTTCTTGACTCCTTATGCTATTTACCATGCAATTTTAAAGTACAATGGGATATGTTTTAAGGAATGTAGGCTCACTACCAAATTTGCCGGCTAGATCAGTGACCATCTTAGGTTTAGTTTTCCTAAAGTAATATCTCGTTCATGGTCTTCATCCTGTGGCGAGAAGACAACTTTCCCGAGGGCAATGCTCCAGTCTGTATACCTTTTGGACTTGAAGAGGCAAGGGTCAGTTAACCAGACATTGCAATTTAAAGATTGAAATGAATTCCAAATTGGAGAGAAGCTAATTTCAAGCATCGTTTAGTTCAGATTTTTTTAAACTTCTGTTTTTGTATTGGTGCTGCACAATATCTACTAAATAGGTAGCTCAAGTTCCGCGTTTCAAATTACATGACTTGTCAAACACTTATCTACATGCCCCCTATTAATGGTTTTTTTAATCAAGGAGGTTAGTCCCTGGATGAGATAGTTAAAATTATAATTTATCGGAGCTACTTAAGCAGTGTTCTCCAGTGCACTGGTGTTTAGTCATCTTATATCAAGTGAAATAGAAAAAAAGACTGATTTAAATAGTGAATATGTCTGTCCTCTGGTGTTACGACATGGGGGAAGGTATTTATTCCCAAGACGTGGCAAAACGGTAACCAATCTTCAGTTGGGGATGATCCTTTTAATTTATTTAGAGGAGATTATTCACAAGAAGTTTCTGTGATGGGTCTTAGACTCTAGTTTGTTCTAACACTTTCATAATATACTAAATCGATATTAATTTTGGCTGTTACAACTAATGTTGTAATTCAAATTTCATATCGAAGCCAGAATGAGAAAATTCGTTATTTGCAGCTCATTGTCCAGTTTCAAAAATGCAAATCAAAGTCCATAATCTTAAGTGTTCGCAATTCCCTCGCACACCACCCTCGTCTCAACCTTGCTAGAACAGGGTACAGGTCTATTATTTTTGGAGGTGGTAATTATTGAGCAATTTAGTGGGGAGTAGTGCTACCGTTGTTGCCCATAGGCCATCATTTTGTCTAATCACAAGGTATTCTATCCTACTTTATTAGAGATCTTTCGCCATTATCTGGCCTTGACACCTCTCTCTTGAAACTCTGTCAGAAGGTTCCAGGATCTTCTCCCCTTTTCACCCCTATTTCTAAATGACCTAATAATTAGGTTTGCTTACTTGGATGAATTTCGAAGTTCTCATCAGAGATTTGATGAGGGTGAATTTTTATCGAGCAGGTATGATAATACGAATTTTACCTTGCAAATGGAAATAGGTAATGATTAAATGCATTTACGTAGGAGAATCTATTAGAGTGAGTTTTCATACATTCTTCCGTGACCACAATTTAATTTAGAGATTAATCACCAAATGTGGTTATTCTACTTTCCAGATGTGACTTAGCAGGATTCAAAATGAAGCGTTGTTGAGACAATACCTTTGTAATTAGGTTAATGATCTCTGATGTACATGTGTATTTCATCGGTATCTTGCAAATTAGTGTCATTTGGTGATCAATAAATGACCTGCTATTTGTGTATTGAGTACTGTGTGTCAAAAGGAATGAGGAGAAAGTGAGAAGTAGAATTTTATATGTATACTGGTTAAGCGATGAGCAGTTTTCCAGACAGCCACCCACACAATGCCAATAATTATTATGAAATGTTCGGACAAAGTTATCATTATCTGTTATTATACTTATCTGATCTAAAATGCACGAAACACAAGATGTTCTTGAATTGAAAATTGCACAAGTTTTCATGAACAGGGATTTTAATTATCTCGCAGCTTTATGGTCAAATATTTCACGATATATCGCCTATTTTTTTTAACTAAAGGTTAACTTGCACCATTTTCATCTTAGTAGAAAAAATGTTACTTTAAAGTTCATGAATCGTGGTTTGCCAGTCTAAAATGTGTAGTATTGTTCGATAACACCCAGGTTAGCTTAGATCATTCTCTAGCAGACTGGTTCAGGAATTATTTAGTTGATTTAAATTATCAGTCTTAATATCCAAAATATTTAAGAAGAATGAATGACCAGTATAAATGATATTGACTAAGTCCAGGATTCAACATATAGAAACGCGTACACGCATTTGTTCATCTTCGAGTTGTTAAAAGTAGTCAAAACAAGGAATAAGCCTGGGTCTGAAACCTATTATGAGCTCCATGTTGAACCAATGGAGCTGTAAGTAGAAGGAACTAAAGCTAGGAAAAGGGAGGCGAACAATATATATCCTCTTGTTTGCCTTTTAGTTCATAATCGATTTTCTAGCGCCGAGCGAATGCCATTGTCAATGGTGCAAGCGCCAACACCATCACCTCCATCTACAGCTTCTGGAACAGTCGTTGTTCAGAGACAGCAGCAACAGGCTCTTCGGGTTCAAAATCCTGTGGCAGTAACTCCTCCATATGTCAATGCCACGACCACCAGGAATGACCAACAGCAACAGAAGCTCGTCTCTCCCTATCGTCGAAGTCGCAGTCAGTACCATCCAAATCCACCCCCCTACCGCCGTCCTCAATCTGGCTGTGTCGTGCCAGTAGGGAAGGGCATCTCATCGGCTCCTGATCTCTACACTGTCTGCCCTCTGGCACCACAAGTACATCAAGAATCTCCCGAGGACGGTGACATTCATTACACTCTCGCGTCTGACGATATAGAAGAGTCTCTAGAACAAGATGATCTCCTCTTGGATGAGACAAACGATGACACAGACTTTGATGGATGCCTGATGACTAGTGAAGATGGAGGAGGACCAAGTGGAGGCCTTATAGATGATGAAGATGAAGACGAAGAAGACATAAAGTCGGCATATTTGATCACTCCCAACCCTACTGCATTGTCAACCAATAGCTCATCAGCATCGGCTTATGGTGGCGGAAAAACAGGCTCCCCGACAGGTTCATTTCATCATCCCGAAACTACGGAACAACGGCGTCGAATGAGTATGCAATCGAGTTTGAAACTCCTTCAAGAGTTAGTCCGGCAGAACCAGGAACGACGTTGCTTCGATGGGAATGGTAGAAAGCCACCGATTGTGAGTGGTTCTGGAATTACCTCTCAGCTTCCCCATGGTCACAATCCACCTCACCAACAGAAGACTTCCAAAGCTGCAATTTTGAGGGATGGCGCAGAATTAATTCGGTCTCAACGAGCAATCGGAGATCGACTGGATGCACAGATCTCCAGTCTTCAGGCTGAGCTAGATAGTTTGCACGAGTCTGTTAAGTAAGTTGTTTTAAAGACATTTTAGCTCTTATTCATAGTGAGGGTGAGAATTTTTGATTCTGTGGTGCAAACTCATTCATATAAAGCACCGTCTTAAGTTAATATCACATTGTTACGCATGCTAAGATGTTTCATTTATCAACTCATCCAAGAAATTGCATCGTGTAATGATTGTCCTTGGATTTATTTTTGACTCCCATTTGAAAACTTTTGTCTTGCTAATTTTCTTGCTAATTTTCAATGATTATTGCAATCATTTCTGCAACATTTTTGGGGCAAAGCTTTCCACAGTCAACTCTTATTACTGCATTCATTTACCGCATTTGTGACCTCCAGAGACGGACTAAACGAAATCAAGGAATGACTATATTTTTACGTTCATGTGCGATTAGTATTACGGTCATCCACTAGAATAGCGTTAAATAATCAACTAAAATACAACTCACTGCTAGTTTTCATCTTTGTCATATTGCTCATGTCCTGCCCTTTGTCAAGTTATTTATACCTCTTATATTATGTATGCCTTCTCATCAGGCTCTGACGATTTGGGCAAAACTTCAAAGATATTGTAATTGTCGAAGCTTTGGGTTTGTCTTCTCTGCATGGGCAGTCTGTTGGTCTGTTTTCAATACCCCTAAAGCTGTTATGTCAATTAATTTATTAAAAGGCAATGAGGTTCCTTGAAGCACTTATCGAATCTGTCGTTTACAGAATTATACATGAAGATGAATTGGGATCCTTTGAAAGTATTAATCCGTGTAATGAAATTTATGGAGGCAGTTTTTTTCCTGAACTTTAGTTTCCTGAGTAGGGACAATCAGCCGTATTCACGAATGGTGGTTGTTTTTGGCCATTTATATCGAAGCATACCACTTGATTGACCTGAGAATGAGTGTCTTTAAGATCTGAACATAATGTCTTCCAAATTCTAGTGCCTGTTGTAAAAAGCTGCCGACATTAGGAGCTGTGTCCAAACAGCAGGCAAAGTCCATGAAGTCATCTGCCCGAGTTTGGTACCACAACTTTGTGTCACAGGCGACTGAGGCCAATTGGAAATTCTACATCTTTAGTCTCATCTTCACAGATGTCTTTGAAACTTACTGTGACAAGGTCTGTTGCTCTTCCTCCCGCGAAGTTCTTCGGCGTTCTACCATTAGTTGGCTTGAGGACCACT